TATCGTGCAGAAAACACTGCTTCTAGACTAATTAATTTTCTCTATACTCAAATACACGTTATTTAAAGAACTATGCTAACTCAAAATTCCCACGATGATACCTCGTAATAATAGTTCGAAGTTCTTTGAAAAAAGCACTTGCTGATTTTGCTGCTCACCTTTCCACTGCAATGTCTATTGGTGGTTGGTGTAAAAACCTTCGAAGTGCAGCCGTTATCCAGAGAACAGCGAATCGCTAAATTCGCTCCAACGATTTTTGTATGTAAGTATGTATGTACTATTTTGATGGCAGCGGTCCACCATACCAAAACTTCTTAAAACAATATTTTCATGAGGTCAGCTAATAGGCCCCATATAGATCCTTATATCTTCTCAAACATTCATCACAAACATTTTTCCTCTCTCTTCCACATTAAGTGTCTTTGTACTTGTTATGCTCTTTAATTGTTAATTTTCACCTGTTTACCCTGAGGAGTTTCTATTTCGAAAGCTTGTACTTTCTTGTAAAGAGTACCGTATCGTTTGAACAGCATTTATCGCAAGATTAACGATAACACCGATTTGTTATTGTTGTTGTTGTTGTCGTTGTAGCGGCAGAATTCTGCCGTGTTGACAGTCCTTGACCGGACAGAGGATCCTGGTCCGTTCTGCTTACGTAGACTCGACTGTCGTAACACCGCTTTTTCTTCTGCATAGCCTATCAGCTTGGATGTCTTTCTACAAAATTTTTTGGAAGCTTATTTGCTACAACAGTCCCCTAAAGAGTTCCTTTTAACACTAATAACTAAAAGGTAGGTTCCAAAGTAAACAGGACTTTTTGAATCTAGCGCCCTCTGGTGGCGCCTATCTATATGTCGACTGACGCGTTAGAATCTCTTGGCTTTATCGATTGCACGGTGAGAATTTTTAGGAAAGTGAAGTTATCGCGTTTTCAATGTCAACATGTTTGTGTTATCGGTGTGAAAATGAGCTTCGAACAAAGAGCCAATATTTAAATTTGTTTTAAAATTGGTAAAACTTTTACCGAAACGTTTCAATTGATGAAACAAGTTTATGGCGATGATTGCCTATCCCGTAGCGAGTGCACGAGTGGTTTCAACGTTTTCAAAGTGGTCGTGAGAACATAAATGACGAAAAAATTCGGGTCAATCAAAATTAGTGATCACCGCAATTCCATCAAAACTGTGAAAAGTTAATCATCAAAAATCAGCCGAAATCATCATTGAAATTCATGGAAATGGAATTGAACGTCTCCAAAACATCGATTTATCGCATTTTGACCGAACATTTAGGCTTACGAAAGGTGTGTGCAGGGTTTGTTCCGCACAAATTGACTGACAACCAAAAATTGCTCAGAATTAAAGATTCGAAGGAGGTCAAAAAGGACTAAAACCTCCTTTATAATATTTTGAGTGGCTTGGAGAATTCGAAAGTGAAGACAATGCTGTATTGTTTGAGAAGATAAAAGTTGGGGTTTGTTGCACGATAATGCGTCGCTTCATCGAGCGACGCTTGCCACCGATTATTTGCCCAAAACTCACATTTTAACCATTAACCACTCCTCGTATTCACCCGGTATGGCACCTTTTTCTTTTCGGAAAATGATTTGCCCATGAAAGAAATGCGTTATGCAGACGTAGAGACCATTCAAAAGGCTTGCAACGGCATTCTGGCGGCCATACCGGCCAACGAGCTAAAACACTCGTTCGACATGCTTTTGGACCGTGCAAAAAGATGTATTGAAGCAGAAGGAGACTATTTTGAATAATAACAACACTCAACGATAACCCTCCTCCCGCCCAACCGACGCGAGGGGCGCAATCCGCGAACGAGCGGAAATAGCCGAGTCATAAAAGGCAAGAGAGTTTTAAGCATTGCGATCTTAAGCGAAGAAACAAAAATTGCAACAATGGTAAAGAGTGAGTCTGTTAGATCAAATGTGCGGGAATAAGAATTGAAATCATGACATATGCGGCGGAATGGTTCGTTAAGCTCAAAATTTGTTCTAGAAAATTTAAAAAGTAAGTCGAAACCGCCTGATATAGCGAGCGGGAACATTAAAATTAATATCAGATAAAAGAGATGGGCTACAGACTGACCCATTCATGAGTTTTACAAGGAATATTATACCAAGCATCTACCTACGACTAGCGAGTGTCGGGAGATTTATGTCATTTCTAACACACCAAGAAACTATGTTGTTTAAGTCTGTTTGCAACTGACATCCTTCGCTGTTTGAAGTATACGTTTTAAAAAGTTTTACATCGTCAGCATATAATAAAAGTTTTGAAAACTTAACAACAGATGATATGTCTGTAATAAATAATAAGAACAGAATTGGGCCAAGATGGCTACCTTGAGGAACGCCTGAAGGAACATTGATTATGTCGGAAAGAGTATCGTTAAATATGATTTAATTTCGGTTCAAATTAGCTTTCCCAAAGTTGAACCGAAAACAAAGGTCTTGTGTATTATTATGAGCAAAGTTAGCTAGGATTTCGATGTCAATTTTCAAAGCAGAATAATACGAGTCCTCTGGCCGAACCAAAGGATCACATCGGACAACGGAGAACATTGAAGCGTTAACAACATAAACTAGATCTAAGAACTTATCTAATTCGTTTGAAATTAAATTAAGCCAACCCCGACATCATCTCAGAACTCGTTAAAACATAAGCGAGTACTAGTAGGAATGGTGTGATCATCAATAGATTTCCATGATACGAACGGTAAATTGAAATCCCCCAAAACAATCATGGAATCACTATATTGGCCATTGAGAAAATATTATATATTAATGAAGCATGCTGCATATATACAGATATGTCCGAGTGAGGCGGTATATAAGATAAATTTAAGTAGATATGGGCACTATTAGCGCAAGCGCGAATGCACTTAAATTCTATGAAGTCTGCATGCGAAACATCGACTTCTTCAGATGGAATGGAAGAATGAACAGCAAACAAGACACCACCTCCTTTTCTTTTCAGCCGGTCTAAAGATTTCAAATGCGCTATTGAATATTTCACTATCAAATATGTGGGGCTTTATCCAAGTCTCTGTGAAAGCAACGATTTTAAAGTTACAATGAATGCTGTTTAAATACAAATCGGTGAGTTTTGTATTAAGACCTCTAACATTTTGATAATAAATAGTCAGCGAATTCTTGTTAATTAGTTTTTTGTATTCACGGAGTTTCTTGGCATTTTAGTGATAACTACAGGGGGCTTATCACGTTTGTGCTCGAATTCGCGCACAAATACCCCAGATGGCCAGAATGAGTTGTCAAGTATTAATTGAAAACTGTCAGCGGATACGTCGATCTTAAACAAGAAATATCCCGGTTGTACTTGAAATTAAATTTACAGACGTCTGTATCTGCCGTTTTTAATTTCGACGAGATGTAACTTTTTATATCATCGACTGAGTTGAGACAAAAAATGAAGAGATATTAGGCATATTCCTTGCTTTATGCTTAGTGACTGAAATGCAGCCATCTAGTTTCATGCATCTTCAGAAGGAATAAGCTAAGACTTATTGGTATTGGTAGACTATATGGTATATTCTTTCGATTAAAAGATAATTCCTTTAGCCGTTTTCGGTATGAATACGACCCTCGCCTCATGGGAGAATGTTCTACACCAATTTTTAATAATGCCAACTGACTCTTGACCCATGAAGAATGGTGCAGACAAATTTTAAAACATATGTATTCAATAATGTCTATAATTTTGTGCAAAAATTTCTTATATTAAAAACAACAAAAGTGTCGAATCAAAATATTAAATGTTTGCTCTTGCTAATTCTGTCTTTTTAAAGTCAAATTAGCACAAATTTAATGAGTTTTTTTTTTTTTTAATTTAAGCATAATCAACCTTGTGGAGTAAAAATACCAAAAAAGAATTATGACAGTATTGATTTCGAGCAGATTCGATCACTTGACCTATTATAGGGCGCACCTAGTGTTATCAGCAAAAAAGGTGACTTTTGTAATTTTTTTTAAGAAAACTGCTGCTTAAAATACTTTACAATTTTCTAGAAATATTAATGCATAATTAGTGAATAAGCATACAAATTTTCTAAAAAAGTTAATATTGATATTTTTTGAGTTATTCGTAATTTCTAAAGTATTAATCTACGCTTTGGTGTTGATGCTGGTTCCAAGATAGGCGAAATTATCTACGACTTCGAAATTATGACTCTCAACAGTGACATGGGAGCCATGTCGCGAATGCCACGACTATATGTTTGATGACAGGAGTTATTTCGTCTAGTCCTCATTCATTACCAGGCCCATTTGCTTCGATTTTTTGTCCTATCTGGAGAAAGTAAAACGACGGCTGATATGACCAATGATAGCGTACGCCGGCAGTTGTACACTTTTTTTGATGGTTCTCTATTTAGCTCCGCAGCTCGTATTATTTTCTCCAGGAGTATTTATCAGAAATCTCGTTTGGTATTGAACGGCTCGGAGAAGTCCTTCCCGATTCTGATGGAGCTTTTGGTGTTGCTCAACGTCAACTTACACAGCCGTATTAGTTTTGTGGGGATACCAAAATGAGACATCGCGGGATAAAGGCAAGGATTGGAGAGCATTCTGAATATATGTCAAATTTTTTATTATATATTTATCATAATTTTATAGATACTTAGTGAAAAATACAAAACGATATCTCTTACAAACGAAACCACTATGCAATATTCTGTTCCAAACTTTCTTGGCTCTTGATTCATAACATTGTAAAGCAATTTTTGTTATTTCGGCACTCTAAACAAATTTATACTTATTCTTCATTTCACTACGAAATGACAATTCAGTCCCCGTTTTGCTATGGTATAAAATAATCAAAACAAACGAAACCAAATCTGAACAGAAAACATAAAAACACGTGATGTTTACCCAAGAATCATATGCAATAAAAGAGATAAGTCTTTTTAGAGTCTTGCATATACATATATTGTATATAACGAATATTTTTCAAATATCTAAATATATGTATATGTACATATTTTTCGTTACATCTTCCGTTTCCGTTATTAAATACTCCACTCACCATCGCATCGTCGGAAAATGTTTTACTGTCATTTGCACCATTGTGAATGATTCATTTCTGCTGCTATTGCATTGTTTTCCTTCGGTGTCAAAAATTTTCGTTTGCGCTGCTTAGTATTTTACATCGAATATAATAGCAGCTATTTGAGTCCATCATAATTAGAAGTGTTTAAAAACGCCGACAAGCTGAGTAAATTACCTACAAATATAAAAACAAAAAAATTATAACAGTTCTGGCCATACATTGGCCTGCTAGTGAATTGTCAAAAAACACGACATAACTTATTGTCACCGCTGTCTAATAGGACTCAACTACAAGAATGGCCTCTACAATGCAGCTGGAGTTTTCGCAGGCCATGTCCGATTTTAAGACGATGTTTCCAGACATGGATCGCGAGGTAATTGAAGCGGTTTTGCGTGCAAACCAAGGCGCTGTAGATGCCACAATTGATCAGCTATTAGCTATGTCGACGGATAATCAAAATGAAAAACTGCGTAATGAATTGGACGCAAAAACATCACCCCAACGCAGTCTTATAAATCTTCATGGCATAGATAATCAGCCTCCAACAGCACAATTAATTGATACATCTGACGGATGTTCTACAATTGCACCAAGTAGTCAACAAAATGCAGCAGCTGCTGCAAATGCTGTGTTATTGAATCTCAGCAGCAATAATGCTGTCAGCTCATCACCTAATCATAATACTGGTGCATCGCCCAAACAGCGACTGGTAAGTGCCAACAACAAATCATCTGCAAATGTCACACCCAAACGTAGTGGTGGTCATCATGGTACGCGACGTTGGAATCCACCTATGCTCGGCCCACTACCGGCAGGCTTTCTAAGGATCACACCGAGTGCACAAGATGGAATAGTGCGTGATTTTGACTTGCCCGACGAACAATTCGCAATGATGTTACAAAATGAGGAATTTATGAATCAGTTACGGTGGAATCAGGAATTTATGAATGCGTTAGAAAAAGAGCAATGCGGCAAAGGAAAGGGCGAAGATGACGCTGCATTCAAAGAACGATTGAAACATATGGGAAAGGTGTCACGAAAAAAGTTTTTACAAATGGCACGTGTGTTTACATGGCAGCGTAACAAAAAAACAACAACAGCCAAGCAAATAGATTCACTACCTCTGAAAGAGGAGCCCAGCGACGACGAGGATCACCATCATGGACAACGTAAGTAAAAAACGGTAGTTGTGTGACAACTTGGGGAAACCCCATAATCACCTTGTTAGTGGTATGATGCGTGTTACGAAATAATTATGTAATGTTTTAGTTTTTAATTTTAAGCAAATAGTTGTTGATATAGTGTATAAGTTGCTTTCGCATTTTGGTTGCAGCTAATCTTCATAAATTTATTGTTTTCTATGTACTTTTAAGCTTTATATGCGATTGCAATTATCTAACGTGATGCTCATAAGCTTTCCATGCCGATAAGCATATATACATACATATATACTAATAATGTATATATGTATATACACATGTATTTATATATATCTGTGGTTGTAAAAGACGAAAGACAAATTCCAAATGTACACAAAGCGTTAAAATGGTAGATTTTATCTTAAGTAAACTAAGTTATCAAAAAAATGCTTTAAATATTTTGTCCTCTAATGAATTGCGAAGAATAATGGTGTGATCGCATAGGAACAAAGAGATGAGTAATGTATATTAGAAGTGCAATAAAGAGTTCAACTATAATTGAAATATATAAACACGAGCCATTGTAATTGGTTTTAGATTTGCGAAGGCTGATTGTTGTTTGTTATTTCACTGAAAAGTGGTATTAAAATGTGTATATTGTAAATGCATTTATTTTTTTGTTTTTTTTCTGCAAAATGCAATAAAATTGTTATAGATTTTTTATTTTTTAGCTATTAAATTTGCTTTAAGTGCACTACACTATATAATTTTGTGATGGTTAATATAATTTTCCTTTTGTTGTGGAATGTGGAGATGCAGGCACACGTTTGCTTCCTATAGTTCAATATGAATCTCATAACAACACAAGAGTTATTATTGAAAAAAAAAAAAAAGAATATTTATCTTGATGCTGCGTTTGGGCCTATTATGTTAGTTTGTAAAGAAAAATGTTGGATCGGACTGAAAATATACATCATGAACACCTACACACATAAAGAAAATGAAAATCGTATGTATATACTTACATCCATACATACATATATCCACAATATATACATAATTATAATCTAAATATTACAGTAAACTTAAAAACTTGTGTATAAATAATGAAAGAGTATATTCTCTTGATATCAAAGTAATGTACAAGTCCATTAATAAATGTTAATTATAATGTCATATTTAAAAATTAGTAGCAAAAATTTAAATTTTCAACTATTTGGGTTTTCTCCAGTCTGAAGACAAACTTCCAAAGATATGATATATGCCATATACATATACAAACACAAATACATATATGCAATTTCACATTTAAAGCTGAAAAATTATACTCTAAAGCCACAGTATGGCTGATATCCCATGAATCTTCGGTATAAAGCGAATATGTATGCAATATATATAATACTATAATATACTAAGTAACTATAAAATATATTGCCTAATTTTTAGCAATAACGCTAGTCACAATTCCATTTATAAAAAAATCAAAACTAACAATTTTAAATAAGAAGAAGAATTTTAGCCAAGAAAACACTACCATTATATAATGGAAACTGAATACTTAAATCTTTTTTTAATTCACTTTTAACTTTGTTGAAAAAAAGTCAGTGTTTTCATTTTGCTCGCAATACCTAAATAAAATGAGCACAAGGAATGAAAAACGAAAAATTGTTTTATATATTTTTGTGTTATGCTTATGATTCAATTATAAAAGGTCCTGTTGCTGCAGAGCGTGCTTACTCTTGCGAAAGAAGTCTTTGTATTCATAATTTCGAAATCACTTTTTTTATTTTTCTCATGCATTATCCGTTTTAATTTTGATTATATTGTGTTATTTAAAATATATTCGTATTGAGTTATCACACAAAAAACTCTTTTTTTATTGCTGGAAATTTTTTAACAAATTATTTTTGATTCGTAAAAACAAAACAATATAAAAGAAAACGGCATATTTTGACACTATGTATCCACACTTTTTACAATTTTTATTGTTTTTGTGCTATTGACACAACCTCCTGTAATTGAATTATGGTTATGCTACTCTAAATATTGAGTGCGAAATAAGAAGCTTAAAGAAATTAAATGATTTCATTATTTGCTACTAAAAATGCATATCATATTGTACATATTGTGCCAAATATTAGTTTATTAGATATATCATTCAACAACGGCAATGCAGCAAAATGTTTTACATGTACAAAATATTTTCACGAGAAATCGGATTGAACATTTTATCCCTTCAGCCTACTTCAATGTTTTAAAATTAAAATAAAAATATAAAAATTAAATCAATGTAGTAAAATTGCTTAAAAAACTAAGTGTAAAACTTATTAAATAATATAAAAGATTAATTGATTTATAAAAAACGAATTTCTTCTCAAAATTAATATTACAAAATGTTTCTAAACTGTTAAAAGGCGAAAACAAGTAAATAATATATTTTTTATTTATTCCTCGATTTTTGCTGGAAAAATATTTAAATACAAATTTCTGATATAACTATTTAGTTATAACGAACGTGTAACGGTATTTCAATTTTCAAATGTGTACTACTCAAATTCTACGAAATAACTAAAGTTGAACCAAACTCAATGTACAAAGTTTAAAAGTACAGAATATGCGTAATTTAATTACATAATTTCAGCATACTAATACCTACACAATTCGTAATTTAGCTCAATGCCTTTGTATGTAGGATGAAAATGGAATATTTTGTTAAAGATAGTGAAGCGTAGAAAGTGCAGCAATTAGTGGCAAGTGAAAAGACACACTTTTCTGTCTGCATAAAGCATTTAATTGTATCATGGAAAATGCTTAATACTAACAAAGTAAATTATGAAAAAAGTATATAATGTAAAAACCAATAACTAAAAACTAATCATAGTTAAAACTAATTACGTATGCATGCATGTATAAATAAACTTTACCAGACATGAATAAATGTAAAGAAAACTTAAAACAAACTCTTCTTCTTTAGTATTCATTCCTAGGGTTCGCGCGATACGATTTGTCCAATTGTTGGTCGCCCGCCCGTTCGTCCACATGTCTATATTTATGCGAACTATGTATGTAGTTCCTCTTTTTATTCGATACAGAATTTTACACATTTCCTCTGTTAAAAGCGGGAGATGATTGCCGATATCGTATAACTACGGCTTATAACTGTCATACAAACCGAATAATCGGATCCAAGTGCATGTATGGAAAGTTAGTGCGATCTCCGAAGAAATAGTTCAGATCAGATCACTAGAGCATATAAATTCTATACAACCTGAGCGAACAAAATCAAGTTATTTTATGAAAAACTCAATTATTTGACAAGTTAACTTCACGAACAGTGGCATGGTTTATTCTTCAAAGCAACAATGCAATCTCCGTTCACATTGGAACGTTGTAGCAAATCTGGTATGTATGTAACTGCCATACAAACTGACCGATTGAAATTAAGAAAAACTGAACCTGTGAAGAGTGTTATAGCATCAGTGTAACGTAAGTGACCGTTTTTTTCTCTTATTTTTAGAATAAATAAATAAATTGATTCGTAAGGAACAGCTAGCTTTTTAATAAATATACACCAAAGTAGTGGCGCCATATTGCATCTTTAGTATTATTAGTACGATTTTCAATTTATTTATTTACTATTTACTTACTGAACGTGTCGTTTTAAATATATGCACAAATGTAACATAAAAATCTACATATTCGCGTAGATAACCATTGAAAGATTTTGTTTTGTTATTACTTGATTAATTCTAAATATAGTAAATCTCTTTGTTTGCATATTTACATATCTGCATAGCAGACAAGCAGTACATGAACTTTGCTATTCGCTGTGCGAAGTAGTAGTTTTCCTACATTGTCTCGTCATGTTTACATCCGCAATTTCTTTGAATGTATGTAATTGTCTTCCCACGTTTCATTCACACACATTTCCGTTTGACGAATTTGAAACTTGTCTTTTAGTTATTCATTGCACCACCGATGTGACCACAAATTCGTTCAAAATGAAATGTATATATGTATGTATATACTCAAACACATGCATTACATTAATCTTACTTTATTGCTGTCACTCCAGAAATGGCTCCAATGCTCCGCCACCAATCGGAATTATTGGGAAAGTTCACTCGAAATAATTGTACTTACATACATATGTATTTAATAACATGTGAGCGTAGACTCTTTAACGTTGGATACTTACATACATATCTAAGCACATGTACATGTACATACATTCACACAAAGCTATGTGTATGTATTTTATTTTGATATGCTTTGGTTACGAACGCCACTGGAATTTTGAAACGCCTTCAATTCGTTATGAGTTCCACAAATTTGATAGCAGGTTCAATTAAATAAATTCGCCTCTCGATTGTGTTAAATGGATTAAGCTTTAGTTTTACTTGTATGTTTTGAACCTACTCCGCTGAAAATATTTATTTATATTTTTATAACAACATATTTATAAGACATACTTACACACTCTCGTATTTATAGTGCCTGCAATGACCTAAGGCTATATATTATGCTGATAATTACGACAATGTCTCAAACAGTGGCAACGACCGTTGTCAACAATAGCAAAGTGTATTCCTTACTACAATTCTTCTCCACAAAGACCGTTGTATTAAGTTTCTGCCTTTTTATACCATTTCTACAAGTGCTCATGCCCTACCCTCAATGGCTGTAATATACCGGCCGGCTTGCTTGCTGATATAGTAGCATGCTGACATAAACGCATACATACCAACACTAACATAAGCCGAGAATATGGCCATGCTTGGTACTTAATAGCTGCGGTATGACATATGCTTCGGCTGCGGGCTGCTTTTCGGGCTCAACAAATTAGCTAATGGCGGTGACTTTGGAAATAGCAATGTAGTCGCTAATCTAAAACTTTATTAGTTCAATTTACTGGAATGTACAAATGTAAGTAGGGCGTATATACACATCTTTATGTATTTGTGTCACTAACACAGTAATGAGAGCAATATTTTTTTTTTTTTTTGGCAACATCAAAATACTGAAATTACTCAGGCGACTTAAACGAAACTTTGTACTGACGCATACAATAATTCAACAAAATTCTTAAAAACGTTCCAGCGATTTCAACAAATTCCAGCTTATGGTTGTTGTAGCAACAGAAAAAATTGCAAAAAATGCTTTTGAGAAATGATGGCGGACGGACATTCTTTAGCGAGTTAAAAATCCGGGCCGTTCCAGTTACATAAGCCGACAGTTTTAAAAATGACGTCGATGATTATTTCTATTTAGACCTTGAAAATGTGCCATTTGGCAAGGAAACACTATCAATATTTAAATTCCTTTATGCACACATAAAAAATTTCCACAGTTAAAAAAAAACTATTAAACTTCCTATCCGCTGTAAGCTAAATAATGATATGACTTCCTCATGTTTAATGTTTTCAATTTTTTTGTTTTATTATTATATGTAAACGTAATACATTTAATTAATATTTAGAAGACAATAAATCTATTTCTTATTATTTTTTGTTACACTTTGATTTATGGTTTATGCACTTGTTTCTATTATTTTATATTATTTTGTTGCGATTGCATTGTTTAATTTTATTTATACCGCTCACAAATTTTAGGTCATTATACATTGTTCATTGTTGCTGGGTGTTGTAAATACCACGATATAATGAAAAATTTTAATTTTAATTTAGCGGGTTTTAAGTCTTTACCATTTCAATCATTTATCCAAATGATTTTGTTGTTAATTAATATTTTTGCATTTAACCTTTTTTGCAACTTTTCATTAAATTTATACAATTGTTCATAATGCTAGAAAACATTAAATTTTTTATCAAATAATTTATCAATGAAAAGTGGTAACTAACGGATTTTTATATTTTGATTGTTTGGTGAAGGGCTCGTTGGTCTAGTAATCGCAATATGCATTTCATTTCGTCATGGATAATATTCTGATCTCTTGATGTAAGGTGGTTCAACTACATAATGTATGAGTACGATAATCTGATTACTAATGATTTTTCATTATTTATAGGGCACATGGGAATCGTTTTGTCTTTCTGACAGTGCTATTACATTATTTCTATATAAACATTAATAAATGGAAAAAAATGAAATTGATAGAAGAGACTAGCAATAAATGTGCTGGTCTGGTCTATATGAATTGTACATACAACTATGTGCCTTAAATGGCAAAAATTCTTATTTTCTCAACATTTCCGTTTCTTTTATATTTCCAATAATTTATGTTTTAGTTATTTGCTTGGCATTTCCTTTGCTTAGGTTTCTTTTTTTAAGTCAAAACGGTTATTTCAACTATTACGATTTGGCCTACGCATTTCAGTTATGGCTAATAATATATTACTTTTAACATAAAATACATATTTTTTACGATGAAATTTAAAGAACATCTATGAATAAAGTGGAAATTTAAGTTTTGGAGCAATTATAATCGGAGGTATTAAATGATTATGAAAAACTCACAACCGTAGAATCATTTTGTGTGAAAATAAAATATAACATATTTACCCCGATTTGTTTATGCCTTAAAGAAAGAGTGTGAGAAATCGTTTTGACTTTACTGATACCGTAATATACATACATATCATTCATATTAACTTACAAGCGTGTTAATTCAAAACTATACGTTTCTTTTTTTCTTAGTTATAGATATTTTGTAAATTTGTAAAATAGTAGCAAAGTAGTATCTTTGTAAATTGTATAAACGGTTTGAATGATTTTGACAATGCGGCTTATTTGTTTTCTTACTGCTTTACTTTCACATGGAGTTTCACTTAAATGACATTAAATGTTTGCGCTTAGACTTGCCGTTTGGTTTCATATAAAAAGTTTAATTTTAAGATAAAATAATACAAACTTATTTCATTTTAATACAACAAAATAAACTTGGCATTTCAAAATTTCGCCTAAATTGAATATAATTTTTTATTAATTTTTTGTTTGTCTATCATCATTACAAGTACATATGTATGTATTCCAGTTTTTATTTCTATATGTATATCTAAAGAGACAGCGAGAAGGATAGCGGACTTTAGAAAACCCCCACATATAACAGCAATGTTTTTCGCAATTTTATCCTTGGTACTCAAACATTTTTTTATCCTCACTATTTGTTTATTTATTTGTTTCAATCAATACCATATCTTTTATATATTTGTTTTAAAATTGTAGTCTTATAGCAGAACACATAAGGATTTTTTAGGTTTCTTCTGTTTCTTCTCGGGTGACTTTTTATTGATCTGCCTGACCAGATCATAGAAAATATCATTGACATTTACTTTAGCTTTGGCTGATGTTTCCATGAAGGCGCAGTTAAATTGTGTAGCCAGACTTTTACCCAGTTCTTTTCCTACCACGCGCTCATCTTCCAAATCGCATTTGTTACCTACTAGCACCATTGGTACGTCATCTGTATCTTTCACACGCAATATTTGTTCTCGCAAATCTTGCAGATCATTGAATGTTGATTGTGCTGTTATCGAATATACGAGAACAAAGCCTTGGCCATTTTTCATGTAGAGATCACGCATAGCAGTAAATTGTTCTGTACCAGCCGTGTCCAGTATTTCCAACATGCATTGTTGCCCATCCACTTCCACCTGTTTGCGATAACTGTCCTCAATTGTGGGATCATATTTTTCTACGAATATACCTTGCACGAACTGCACGGTCAGTGCCGATTTGCCTACACCTCCGCTACCCAAGACAACAATTTTATATTCACGCATATTGTCAGTGAAGGGGTGGACGTATTACTTGGTTTTTTATGTTTACTGAATAAGGAATAAAACGACAATTTATATATGGTCTTTCACTACAAGTGATAACGTAATTACGTATTTCCTTTGTTGGCGTAAACGCTTTATGTTGGTGGATTTACACTGATTTTATGCTATTGCGATCAACAATTTAAGCTACTTCTCTTTTAGCGAGTTATTGCCGTAGCTTTTTCTTGTAGTGTCTATTGTAATTTTGGATATGCCCGTTTTTCGTTACTGAACTTTGTTTCTTTTTAATGATCTTGCTTTTTTTCACTTAGCTCGTTTAGTTATCACTTTTTCGGATTATTTTTTCTTCTTTATTGGAAACCCAAAACTGGAAGCACTATCCAAAATGTAACAACTATTTTATCATGCAAAGAAGAAAAAAAATAAGGGTGTGAATTAATTAAACAAATTTGTTTCTGGATGTTCAATTAATAAACTCACAATCTCTATTTTAGGCTCAACTTCAACTTCATCATATTAATATGACTCATTTTGTCCCTTCTATTTTACCTTCTTTCTTCCAGCCGCTGTTGCCGTTGCTGTTGTCGTTAGCGATTACGTTGCGGTTGCACCTCCTCTACAGCTATAACTTCACTCAAATTCCGTGACTGCGCCTCTCTGCACCGTTTCGCTGTTGCTATCAAGCTGAGGCGTTTGTCTGATTTTTCTGCTGCTTCTCCCTATTTGTTCATTCTATGTTTCAACGACCGCCTTTGGTTCTAAATTCACCGTCTTGCTTTCGATTAACTATGGTGTCTAAAAATTCGGTCCAAACTAACGAATCAATTGACCTGCTCCGAATATCGAGCACAAAATGGAATGTGAAGAAACAATTTCTGCGTAGTTTTTAGACAGTTCGGCTTAATTTATCAAGATTTCTCTCCACACACTGTGCCAACGAACCACAATTATATTGGCAACAGTTTAAAAAACAATTATTGTGCAGGATTAAAACTTTTATTGAGAAAAATCACCGAAAACGACCACAAATTTTTCTGTACCTTTGCACGACGCGTCACAACTAGAGCAAGGTTGCAACGGTTAACGACTAGAAAATTGACAGCATAAAAGTAACGAGTAGATAAAGATATCGATAAATTAATCGTCTTATTCAAATTAATCAATAGTTGATAAAAAATCAAATTTTTACACCACTGGAATTTAGTAACTGGTTACTGAAAATTTATTAGTCTATATTTATTGTTCTTTAAAGTTACATCACGGTAGAGGAGGTTACATGCTTATTTTATTATCCTAATATTATTAGTACTTAATTTTTTTTTTTTTAACTTCCACTGTTTACATATGCGTTCTCAATACTTCATTATGAATTATATGTATTTACCATAACTGTCTAAGCGCTAATACGCATTGTAGTAACATTCTAACTAATTATTAATAAAAAAAATATCGGGTGATTTTTTAAGAGCTTGATAACTTTTTTAAAAAAAAAAACGCATAAAATTTGCAAAATCTCATCGGTTCTTTATTTGAAACGTTAGATTGGTTCATGACATTTACTTTTTGAAGATAATTTCATTTAAATGTTGACCGCGGCTGCGTCTTAGGTGGTCCATTCGGAAAGTCCAATTTTGGGCAACTTTTTCGAGCATTTCGGCCGGAATAGCCCGAATTTCTTCGGAAATGTTGTCTTCCAAAGCTGGAATAGTTGCTGGCTTATTTCTGTAGACTTTAGACTTGACGTAGCCCCTGTCTCTTATACACATCTAGATGTGTATAAGAGACAGGTTTAATGTCCAATAAAGTAAACTGAGTGCGAAACTTGGTCACAATCGCATTAATTGTTTGCTCACTTGGTCGATTATGTAGACCATAAATCGGACGTAAAGCGCGAAACACATTTCGAACCGAACACTGATTTTGGTAATAAAATTCAATGATTTGCAAGCGTTGCTCGTTAGTAAGTCTATTCATGATGAAATGTCAAAGCATACTGAGCATCTTTCTCTTTGACACCATGTCTGATATCCCACGTGATCTGTCAAATACTAATGCATGAAAATCCTAACCTCAAAAAAATCACCCGATACTTTAAAATATGTAATATTTCGCACAAGCCCCTGAAAAATGGCCTTTTGATATTATTGTAGTAGCACTAATTGGTTCAATTGCAATGGTATCATTCAATATTCTGATTTCGCGTTGTTTTTGCAAAACATATATTTTAAATTTTATTAAATGAAACGAGTAATTGATTTGCACCTCAAAATATTGTAGATAAATTTATTACATATTATTCACATTTTAAAGGCCTTAAGATTAGCGTATTTTAGTGACCATACCTGCCGCAATGGTGACCCCTCCCACTCGTAACATGAAGCGCCCCAATTCTTTAAAATCCGCATACCGTTCTATGCATATGGGCCTTGTTGTTTCTATTTCTACTAAAGCACACGTGTTATTACCGAGAACGCGAGGCTTTTTCTTGATAGTTTCTCCAGTGCTTTTATGTAATTGCGCTTGTAATTTACTAAGAACAGCTGGCTCGATGAGTGACTGATAATGGAACAGCACAGGATAACCAATAGTTATTGGCACTGTAACATTAAACACAAGTATACGAGCCTGGAAACGATTTGTCACCGGAATAGGGTTTTGTGGATCGCAAATAATGGATCCTACAGACACTGTCGACATATCGACTCCAGACAATGTCACTGATACCTGATCTCCTGCAAAAGCATTTGTTTGTGGAATTTCGTCGATTTGTAATGCTTTGGCTTGAGCTTGTTCGCGACTAGCACCAACTAACACACGGTCATTAACGCTAAGTACACCCGTCTCAATACGTCCTGATATACAAAAACCGGAACCGGTGCCCTTATAGATATCGGACACAGACATACGTAAAGGACGGTCTATTGATCTTTCTGGTAGTTTAAAATTATCTATTACACTTAACAAATGTGGTCCTTTGTACCATGCTTTTAAAGCAGGCGCTTGTGCCGGTTTTGATAAATTTTCACCACTAAGACCCGAACAGGGTATGAATGTAACATCCGATTCTTTGAAGCCAGCTTGCCTTAGAAAAATTTTCAATTTTCCAACAATTTCATCGAATCGTTCTTTTGACCAGTCAACCATGTCTAACTTATTAATAACCACCCCCAATTGATTTACACCTAATGAACGAACAAGTAATGCATGCTCTCGTGTTTGTCCACCTTGTTCAAATCCCGCTTCAAATTCTCCACGCGATGCGTCTACTACCAAGAGAGCAACATCGGCTTGAGTAGCACCAGAAATCATATTTGGTATAAAGTCTTTGTGACCAGGAGCATCCAATAGTGTAACTACTTTTGTCTCGGTCTCTATACGTGAATATCCGACATCCATAGTAATTCCTAAAAGATTCAATTACTTAGTTATCATTTAACAATTAATTTAACATTATGTAACCATACCTCTTGATCGTTCTTCACCGGTTTCATCCAAAACCCATGCGTACATAAAACTTTGTTTACCCATTTTCTTTGATTCTTGTTCATGCTTGTGCATTACTCTTTGTGAAACATATCCGGTATCAACAAGTAAATGGCCCATTAATGTACTTTTACCTATGAAGGATAACAAGAAATCATTTTAGTATATGTTAGTACGATATACCAATAAGTTACTGGAAAATGTGTACTTACCTGCATCCACATGCCCAATGACAATCATGTGAAAATGAGCCTTTTGTTCTCCTCTTTCCTGAGCGTAAAGTTTTTGAGCATCGCGCTGAGCTTGTTCTTTAGATATCTTAATGGATACTACCGTTTTATTCATATCTTCATCTATAGGGGTATTCCTTCCAGACACGGCTGGTGACAGTTGCTGCTGTGGCGAATTAACTTCAAAACCACGGCGTATGTCCCTTTCACTTAATGGTTGGGCAGTGACTTTGATTGTAGGTGGTATATTTATGCTGGGAGGTACTTCACGATCAGGTGTTTTTTGTTTTGTTGCAGACGACGTAGTGGGCTGTAGCGTTTGATTTTTTGACGTGCTACTCCCACTAACGGCTTTATGCCGCTTAGGTTTGCTGTCACATTCATTATTTAGAATATCGTCGAGTATTTTTGTTATATCAAAACCGAAATTAATTGAAGTTTCTACGATTCGTCGTTCCGATATTTGATCTCCAACAACGTTGCGTACTTCATCAATGCAAGATGTAAGCTTCGCTTTGTCAACATCATTTAATATTGGCATTTGAAAATTATCTGAGTCTCGTCGATCTTTCTCATAAGTGAAACTATCTTCCAATGTTTCCTCCTCCTCTTCAATATCTTTATTATTTTTAATAAAGGCCGACATACTGTGTTGGCCACGAGCTCTGTCATATAGCCATTGCGCATCTGTTGGCGATATGCAACTATCGTCATCAACAGATGTGCCGTAGACATCGTCGTAACCTAAAATTAATTAAATTCAAAGTGAATTGGTTCACAACAAATAAATTTAGTTTAACACCATACTTACCATCATACTCGTCGTTGTAATCCATAGCCCGCACTATTCTGTGTCGCGACATTGTGATGCAAGTCTTTTATTACTCAGTCACTATTAAAATTTCACAATATCTTCTGTGTCAAGCAACAATAAATAATTAAAAAAATTTGTGAAATTTTGCCATCACATCGAAAACAAATCTAAAATCGAATACCTGCAGAATTATTGGCATGCTACACAGCTGACAGATAATAGTGTTGCCGGTTGATTTGACACAGAGTTGCATAAGCTTTTCTAAACCGGGCCGGCTGGAAAAATTGTAACAATAATATAGTGTAAGAACTTCTAAATTGTATAAAATTGGGATTTCTCGGTATAATTGGTTCGTTTAGCTTTAAATTCAATAAAAGCTGACTTTTCGACTTACTTAGTAAAAGTGTGTCAACAGAAATGAAAAATTAGCATTTAGTAAGCTGAATCAAAAAATGCAAAAGTCAGCTAATAAGCTTATTTTCGTCTTTTCGTAGTTTCATTATTGCTTGCAAATAGATAAGATATAATTCATGGCTTGTGCACACTCTTTTTGGTCGCGCAGTTTATATTCACTGTCAGTTGCATTTCATCTTTCACATCAATTCGTTATTGAAGTCGAATCTTTGCAACAAAAGCAAACGAGGAATTGGTGTTGTCGCAAGTATATTTTATTCGATATTTTTTATCAACCATTTAAAAGTGACGAAAATAATTAAGTAACCTTCTGTAATAAAAAAAAATTGTGCGTGAGTTTCATTTTCTGGTTGAAAAGTACCGATTGTTATATGAAAAAACATATCTTCAGAAAGATGCATATGCTGGAAAAATTTAAGAGTACATAAATTTCAAAGTGGAAAGGAATTGAAGAAAAAGAAAGATGTGCTGAAGATTAAATACAAGAAGTAAATACACAGATTTTTGCAAAATAAATCAAGTATTTTATTTTAAAATGCTAAATATTTATATAAACTATAAATGGTGAAATAAATAGTGATGTCAAGTGCAATAAAAGTGGTTTATTCTTGTCCCCAATAAAAAGGATAAAATAAGAGATTTCACTAAAGGTGTGTAAAATCGTTTCAGTGCTGATTGGTTTAAATCCAAATTAGCCAAGTAATCAAATAATCACGGTTGTCATAAAGCTGTTATATTTGTGCTCAGCTTATCAAAATTTTTTGCAATAATTAAATATAATGCAGAACAGTAGTAATTCCAATCGTCAAGGCAAAGAGAAACGTTTCTCTATCCACGATGCATTTGAAGAGGAGACAGACGAGGCAATACGGGTATATGGTTCCACCGTGATATCAACACCTATGCGGGCAAAACAACGTTCAACCGATGATGTATCCATTCGCATTCAGGATCCAAAGTAAGTGGATATACATATATGAACATATGTATGTACATAAAGTAAAATTTATAGTACAAAGTATGTACAAGATGAAATAATAATGCTGCAGAATCAACATTAACATTAAGCTTAGAGCAGTAAATCTTATCAACCAATTTATAATACATGTACAAACAAAAATTATATTATTTAATCATATGTCGCACAAATTACGTTTTAAATTCAAATGTATTTCTCTAATTTCCAATTCATAATAGTTGTATTTTTTTGTTGTTGTCAATTTTGATCGCAGTTCAAAGATTACTTCTAAGTAGTCAAATAATTGATTAGCATGACTGCGTTATATTAAGCAATGGTGGGGGAATATAAATTAATAAAATGATCTTACAAAACCCGCACCATTCCCAAGTGTGTGGTTTTTACTTTAATTATTTTAATTATAGACAAACATTTGTCACTAATGCTCACGGGTTGTCATGTATTAATTTATCATAAAAATAAGTAGATAAGTAAATTATAATTAAACACTTTGAAGACCATATCTTCAATTTTTTCTATTTGTTTGGCAAAATATATATGTATATACATATGTATGTATACATATATATACAATGTATATAAGTATACATATATTATATAATAATTGTACTTTGCTCTAAATGATGCGAGGCATCACTAGCGAACATCCATTCATTGTGCCAATAGCACACGAGTTTAGTCTTCACGATTGCCTGTAATCGCTTGCCAACGTCAACGTCACCATGGGTTTGAATGTGAAAACGGTAGTCCGCATAAATGTCCCAAGTGACCATCCGGCGGGTTCACTCACATTTACGCTTTTACAATGGCAATACAATGCAAATGAAGCAATTATAACGAAAAATAGCCACAGAAAAGTATGAAACTATAAATACGTACATAGGCAACTGAAATAAAATGAATTAAGAAAGCAAAAAATCAAAAATGTGTCAATGATTCGTTAATTGTTACATACATTTGCGCTTGTCGCTCTAAATGTCAATATGATTGTTTTCAATTGTTTTGTAAATATTTTCGTTACCGATTTGCCGGCGGGGAAAATAGCAATTACAACAATAGAAGTGGTTTCATTGTGCCATGCAGCATAGTATTATTTATTTCAATTTATTTTTGTATTTCATATTACACCGCTGTTATATTTTCCGCTGTTGTATTCAATGAACTGCATTACTAATTTTATCACAGTTGCTTGCGTTGCTGCGAGTTTAAACCGCTATTTACACACCCAGTGGGAAATACATATAATTCCAATTGAACTTCTTAGCTTTTAGAGTAACTGCGTTCATTACAATTTTTTTTTTTTTTTTTTTTTTTTTTTTGTAATGAAACAGTTGGGCATTTTCCAGAGATACAAACAGTACAAATAATTTTCAATTTTTAGTTAACAGAAAATTCAAAACAATTTATTATTCATAAATTTGTTGGTAAAACTTGTTCCTTTGATGATACACAAAAAGTAAAAGCCGGTTTGGTATTTCCGCAGAGTACCCATTTTCAAATGTTTGTAAACAAACAGCTTATTTATAGTTTGATAAGACGCGTGTGATGGAAATAAAATAGTTCAAATGGTATCAATTTGATAAGGCGATAAATATGAGTAACACACGTGGTGATAATGAAAAAATTCAAAGTCTAATCAACAAGTAAGAAAGTCGATTGTTACTGTGTTTATTATTGTAGAGCGGATAATATTAAAATTAAACACAATTATAGCAGAGTGGGATGGTGAATTCTACAATATTGAATATGTGAATATCGCTTTATTATCTAAAAAAAAAAGTTAGGTAAACTTAAAGCTCAATTAAAAAATCCTATATCTCAACTGCTGTATACAAATGTCTTTTTTTCTTCGATAGTCGCACTTTGAATAGCACCATTGCACAACTGGACTGTTCCAGTTACCGCACGCGACCCCAATCGATATTGATCGTACATTCATATATATATATGTACATACGTTTGTAGATAGCATGAGCCGCATTTAAAATGTATGTACATTCGTACTGGCTTGTAAACCCGATTATTACTCACAGATTTATTATCCCATTACAAGTTGTATTATTTAACGTTGGTATGTACGAATATATACATATATACACACATTTGTATTTAGTTAACGCTACAACTACAAATATTTTTGCTGTTACATTTTTCAAATTTGCAAGTAAAATTATTAGAGTATTACAATTTAATTACAAAATAGCCTGACTAAGACTTGTTTTTGCATTTTTCTGTTTAAAAAAAATCGATTTACAAATGCATTTAAACTTTGACTGCTTATTTTTGTATGTAGTAAAATACCGCACTGTTTGATCAGTCAGAATTCCAATATGAAATATTGACATTCAGCATCTTGTTGTATTATCATGTATATTCAGTGCACATACATACATGCACGTACGTGGGTAGCCCTAAGGGCTCTTACTGATTCGAACACGGTCAAGAAATCAAGATATGACATACATACAGACATACTTAGTCTTGCTATAAATTCTATTACAAAGTAAAAATTCACAGAAAAAAGTACCTTTATTATTTATAATAAATTGTATGCCGAAACCTCCTTGAAAAAAATATGTCAAGGAAAATGGATATTTCGACCAGATTCATTAAAAGACTTATTTGAGAAGATCTCCACATGAAAGTCGATCAACTGGTTAATTATCGCGGTCATAAAAAGTTGGCTATCATCGATCTATACGGATCTCCATTGACAGTAGCAGTGGCACCAGTTTCACTTGCAACGAAGGACGAAGCGATGATTCCACCGAACCAAAAACCACACCAAACTGTCACTTTAGGTGTATGTAATGGTTGTGCATGAATAATTTGTTGATTTTCTCCACCAGAATCGACAATATTTTTTATTCAGAGCCCCACTCAGATGAAAATGAGACTCATCGTAGAAGATGATTTTTCAATTCACTAAGTTTACGGTGGTCCAATGGCTTCAGTTCTTGAGTGAGAACAATTTTATACGGATTCAAACCCAAATCCTTTCCTTGCTGCTGTTATAGTTTGATGGGGAGTTTCCTGTAAAGAAGCAGTTAAAACTGGAACAAAAGTGTAACAGCAGTATTAGGGTGCTTTAAAAAAATTTTGAATTTTTTTTCAACTCTTGCCCCCTCAAATGTTAGTGATTAACAAAAAAAAAACATCCTCCCTCAAGACAGGCGCTGCAGTTTAAATCTAAGTGGTCGCTTTTTTTAAGATTTTATTCATTTTACATATAAATTTTTGTTTCTCAAAAATAACCATCACATATTCAGAAAGTTGGCTTTTCAAACTTTAAAAATTCCCCCGACAAAGTTTGATTATTTTAATTAAACGTTTCATTCAATAAAATTAAATTGAGGTGTTTCAAAGGTACTCATTAAGAAAACATGAAACTGGACAAATCTTCATATCCACATATAACTCACTCCCTATGACATCGAATAAAAAAATATTATTTTATTCAGCTTCCTTAAGTTTAAGCCAATTAAATTGCAAATATGAAATTAATACGTAAGGCGAAAATGTGAATTAATAATTTTATTTCCATATCATGCCAATTGTTGTTGTTGACTTAAAGCAATTATTAATGATTTGTTCACATCTATATGTACATACATACATATGTATGTGCAATTATGACCGTCTCCATAGAAATGTGCTAATTATTGATATTATATGTACATTGATAGATTAATGTGTTAATACGCTTAAACTGTTAAACAAACAAACACTTGTTAGATCTATATAAATTCGTAAACATACATACATACATACATATGTACGTGTTAATTATGAAGAGGCAAACTTGTTTAGCTTATTGCAAATAAACTAGCGGCAGATCGATTCTTAAATCAATATTTGCTGATAACGTTAAGCTCTGGCTCAACTGTTATTTAATGAAGTGACGATCATTAAAATATCCAATAAATGTGACAGATGACTTACACTTTTGTCGTATGCATTATCTGTCTGTATATATTTACACTTTGATGAGCAAAATATTTTTTGCAACGGCAAAACTTGGTAAAATTAAAGAATGAATACGAGGGGGTCTCAATTTGTCATTTCTGTTAAATATATATATCTAAAAACAAAAAAAGTAATTGAAAGTAAATAATTACTTAATCGGCTTGTTTTACATTGTACGAAACAAAATCCACGGTAATGATTTTCGGCGAAAACACGTTTTTTTTTTGTAATCAGTTTGCAATCGTTCATTCCTCATTTACGGGATATTAAGGCATAAAAATGTCTGGAAAATCCTTGGGATAAATAGAGGGAGCCGTTTATATATATACATACATATAAGACAGCATGGTTAGCACATCTCTCTTTTATGCTTGCATATAAATTCCTTAACTTAAATGTCTTCAATTGACTCAAAACGGTTTCCACGGAGCGGTCGTTTGAGTTTGCTGAAGAGCCAGAAGTCTCATTAAGCTAAAAATTTGGCGGAAAAACTCACGAAGAATCAATGCAGTTTGCGACGGTGCATTATCGTGGTGCAAAAATCAAGAGTTGGTGGCCCATAATGTGCCCTTGTTGACAGTTTGGCTGGTCGGAAGATACTCGGAGTGCACCGATAATAGAAGAAATAGTTTCAAGACTCATCGCCGAAAAACATTGTTTCACAGACATTAACGCGACGTTGCTTTTTGGAAAAATTGAGCGATTTTGGCAATAATCGTGTTTTCACTTTCCTTAGGGCCAAATGATCTTTCAAAATGGTTTTCACTGCTCCTTCCGATATTCCAACGTTACTAGTAAAGCCTCTGACTATTAATCGTCGATTCTCAAGCACCAATTCCTTTATTTTAATGACGTATTGATCATCAATTGATGTTGACGACCTTCCTTGACGTGGTTCGTCGTCAACGCTCTCTCGACCCTCTTCGAATAATTTGTACCAATTAAAAATACTTGCTCGCGACAAACAATTATCACCGAAAGCCTTTTTCAACATTCTGCAAGTTTCGGCACCA